TCCTTTTGCTTTATGTATGTTCAACTGTATGAGGTTATAAGAATGTGCTGACTTGAGAGATGAGCTCCAAAATGGCACAGCTGCTATAAATTCCAACTTGCATTGTTGATTCATGTCACGATCTATTCGCTCTCTATTTTTTGAATAGAAATAAACTGCATATGTTGTGATGTTTTCATCAAGTCGACAGAGCATAATTTGGAGTAGATTTATGCCCAATGAATGCACTTTAGTTGTGACATGGTCCCATAGCAACTATAAAATAGGCACCTAATTTTGCCATCCCATGTTAGAGGTGACCTCTTACACAGACCAAAGAATAAGACTGGAATCCAATTATCTCTATACCCGCATTCAGTCACAGTCTACAAATGAAGCTAAATGAGTGACAATAACAAAACATAAGTTAAATGACTTGCGTTCATGCCAATATCAGAATTCAATCTATTCTTTAAGGTTGTCTGGTGAAGATAAGATGTTTAGTCAGACCAGCTTACGGAAAACTTGTTTAACTTCAAAATAACATGGTGCAGAATTTTTACAAGCATATCTAGGCTCTTATAGCACAGTGGTAATTTCCCTGCCTCTGATCCAGTAGACCAAGGTTCAAGTCCTACCTGCTTCAGAGGTATGCTATAACATTTCTGAATAGTTTGATTAAAAATATCTAAATACTGGCTAACTTATTGATAGAAAAAGCTAACTAATTGCAGACAAAACATCCATGAAGCTTCTTGCTTCTGTAACTGTTTGAAGTTAATTAGGTTAAAAATTCACAGTATGAAATTTGACATCATTCTATATTATTAATTACTTCTAAGATACCGCCAAATATATATCAGCTTTCTTAAGGTTTCCTCAATCTTTAAGTCCGTCCTCAATCAGTTAGTCATTTACTTTGCATCATTGCCTTTCCAATTAAAATATAATTTTCAATAAAATAAACCATAACACTTACTCATGTTACATACCATAGTGTTTAAAGGAAATGTGAAAATGCTGACTTTCTAACCATAATGTAGTTTAATGCCCTTGTTTTCAAGCCCTGTTGAACATTCTCTATCGTTTGTTTTCTGTGCATTTCTCTTCCTTAGGTTCTTTATCCATTTCTCCCAACAATTAAAACAAGTTTAAACTCAAACATGTGGATGGTATAAAACATTTTTTTTGAAATGATAATAACAAGATGCTTTAACGTGCCATTATTATTTAAAAGTAATAGTGTAAAAATACATTTAATAGCAGTAAAATAGGGTGCTTTTATAGAGAAATTATTCATTTGCAATTGTGGGCATTGCTGGTATGGCCAGGATTTATTGTCCAGCCCTAACTGACCTTGAGAGGACGATGGTGAACTGCTTTCTTGAAATACAGAGCATATGTTGCTGATAGACCTACAATGTGGTTAACAAGGCAGTTACATGTTATTTACCAAGGACAGTGAAGGAAAAGTGATTTAGTTCCAGGCAGCATGGAGTGTGATTTGGAGAGGAACATGCAGCTGGTCTTTGTCCTATGCATCCTCTGCCCTTGTCTTTCCAGGTGATCAAATTGACAGGTTTGGAAGATGATGTTGAAGAAACTTTGGTGAGTTACTGCAGCATCTCCTGTTGCTGGTATACACTGCTGTCAATGAGCTCTGGTGATGGAGGAAGTGAATGTTTCTTGTGGTGGACGGGATGACGGTCAAGCTTTGTGCTGGATGGTCTTGAGCTTCTCAAGTGGTGTCTGAGCTGCAATCATCCAGACAAAAGGAGAAGATTATTCAGTCACACTCCTGTTTGTACCTTGTCGATAGTGGTATGTCTTTTAGGTGTCAAAGTCAGATGGTTGTTGCAGAATTCCCAGCTCCTCATCTGCTCTTGTGCGCTGGTAGCCTAGATCCTTACATGTCTGATCAATGGCGACCTTCAAGCTGTTAATAGTAAGGCATTCAGTGATGGCAATGCTGATGATTGTCAAGGAGAGGTAAATATACTCTCTTTAGTTTGAAGGTGATCATTAATTGCCACTTAGTGTGGCACAAATGACATTTGTTCATTATTAGCCCAAGCATGGATATTGTCCAGGCCCTGAGCATGATGACACAATCTGCTTCAATATCTGAGGAATTGTGAATGGAGCTAAACACTGGGCAATCTTCAACAAATATTCCCACTTTCGATCTTGTGCTAAGGCACAAAAAACACATGGCTAAATGATAATGAATGTCCAACAGGAACAGTATGAAAATCAAGACATTAATTCACATGATTATGTTTGAAACTCAGTATTTTTATACTTCCTCTGTATGCTATGTCACTATGTTGAGTAACATGGGTAAGTGTTATGGTTTTTACTTATTCTGACCTTTTACGATAAAACAGCTGAAGATGGATTGGGCCAGGACACTACCCGAAGGAACTCCTGCAGTGATATCCTGGGGCTGAGTGATCAGCTTAATTGGCTGGGTGTCTGGTTTACAATGCAGTGTAATGGGCCAACAGCATGGATTCAATTCCTACAACAGCTGATGTTACAATGAAGGACTCTCCTCCTCAACCTCTTCCCTAGCCTGAGGTGTGGTGACCCACATTTAAATGACCACCAATTATTTCTCTCTAATGAGAGCCCTGTGGTCCAGTAAGACTAAGGTGACTTTACATTTACCTTTTATACACAATGGCATTCCCTCGGTCCCACATACTAAAGAATTAGCCTTATTGGCAATGTCCTAAATAGGGCCTAAGTGAATTGACAGTGAACCACCTTGAAATAGGGTAGATCAAAGCAATCCTGTGTGATGGTGGCTATCCTGATCGGAGGATTTCACACTTTCTATCATGCAAAATCATGAATGGATATAAGGCCAACCTTTTTGGTCTTGAAATGTGCCTGAATTAACCCTGAAGTTTTGAGGTGTTTCAAAATGTTGAGCAACAGCTGTTTCAGGCTGCTATTGTGCAGTAGCAATGCGAATGGTGTTTGCCGCTAATACGATGCTGCTGTTAAGCCAAAAGATATTCTGCCTATCATGTAAATGAATAATGTAGAAAATGAATTTCAGCATCAGCTGTGTAGGCCATACATCTCAAAGGCTAGGAAATCATATCAAACAGCCTATCCTTTTGGGTGTTCACAATAAACCAGCCAGCCAACTAGTGTATGCTTGCAAAAGCCGCAATACAGTGTTCAACATTAGGTGTGTTTTCATAATTTGACAAATAATCCTGAGTACGCAACCAATTATGCTCAAAATTATTTTAGGATTATCAGTCAGGCTCAAAGTGTGGTGTAGTTGCATGCACTGGAATATAAATATATTAGTACACAGGTTCCCATTCTTTGAAGCCAGAAGGAATATATACAGTAAATCCTTGGTATCCATTAAATCATGAATCACGAATTCACCTATCTGCGCTAAACAATAACTATCAAAAAATTCAACATTGTGGGCAAAACTCATGTATCTGCAATTTTTCACCTATTTTTAATTTACTTTTAAATGAGCTCTGCACTCTCAAATTTCATCATTTGCAGGGGTTCTCAGGAAAGGAATCCCCGCAGATATGTAGGAAAGCCTGTAGATGCTCTGTGCCTGTTTCAACTCAACAAAACAGATAACCATTTTATGGCTCATTAATTAGGACAATGCCTTGACCAAATGAAGTCAACTTGCCTGGTTTAAAATTTAAACAAAGCCTGGCAGTTAACTTTCAATCATCATTAACTATGGCGTTCTCCATGGCAATGCCTCTACAAATCAAATTCCACTTGCCAACCAATCTGCATTCTCCTCTCATACAGTATAGATGTTGGTTTTTCCCCTTAAATTAGCATTTTTGTGAATTGTCCTGATGAGTGTAGGATGAAAAACTTCAGCAAAATGTATCTTTGTGTTAGCAATGCTCAAGTCCAAACATTGTAAACAAATAAGTTTGAACTGAATGATACAAAGCAGAAAATTATCTTCAGATCTTGCGGCTTCTGCCTTAAAAGGTTTTGATTGAGGTAAAAGAAACATCACTTTGAATGTAATTTCAGAAATTAATACGTTGTTTTGTAATAGTCTGTCTTTTGGAAGGACATTGTTTCAAACTGTATGCTTTTAATCTGTAAGTGGTTGTGTAAGCCTGCAATTATTAGGTTATATAAGACATGAGAAAGATTAAAGATAATAGAAATTATTCTCCCTTCACAGGATGTTGGATATATGGAATATACCCCCAGAGATGTTTACCAATTATGAGTCAGTTGGTACTTTGGAAAGAAACTGATTGATAGCTTTGAGAAATAGCAACATATTTAACAACACTGTTTAATTTTGTTTTTGGATGTAGTCATGGAAGGAAGTTACAGTCCTCCAGAGTAAGGAAGAAAAGTCCATATCAGCCTGAATGTTTTTGTCTGGATTATCCCATCCACCTCCACAGCAGTGTGCTCTGTCTGAGAGGTCATGGGAGCAGCACTTTTACTCTCTCAATTCTACAAGAACAATTTAAGCAATTGCCTGACATTAAGAATAATTTGAATTCCAATAATAATTTTCAATTTAGAGACAGTTATAAGGACTCATTCTCATGTTTGAGATGAAATCACACCTCCCCAAGGATCATACTCCCACTTTCTCCATTATCAGCTCTTTCCAGTGAAAACAAAAGTAAAATGCTCAAACGGCATTTGTCCCTCAATCGAGCAGTTTGTGAGAACAAAATAAATTTGCTCTAAATGTTCTCAAACTACAGCCAATTCTTTGTGTCTGTGGGACCACTTCTTCAAGTTAATTTCCATGTAATTTTCAGTTTTCCAATTAGATGTAATATTTACTATGTACAGCTGGCTGTAAATCTCACAATAAGGAGTTGCCCAATGTAGTTGGAATTGTTCTTTCTATGACATGACTCCTATTATTAAATAACCAGAACCTCATGGTCAAGTATTCTGTGTGATTTGCAATTGGATCTTTGATAAACAGACAGTTGTATTAAATGGCCAACATTTTACATTTTTTTTTTGTCCAGGTGCTGGGGATGTACCTCCCATTTTGCGGAATTGCAATTTCAAATGCTCAGTTGTTTGCTGCTTCCCGAAAGGAGTATGATAGGAGCAGGGTAAGTAAAGAGGGTGCACTAAAGGGGCTTGCATCTGACTATTCATTCCACACAGTTTTTCCACAACTCGAGCGTTGCCGACTGCATGTCCCAAATCAAAACCCATTTAATTGAATGAGGCTGGAAATAATGGCACAAGTTTTCTGGTCTCTGGATTGCTGGAGATGAGAAGCACTGGGACATATGTGTCAAAAGCCTGTAGAAATACTAATATGCGGACATATGTGGGAAATAACTTCAAAGTTTATACTTCTGAGAAGCTGATTCACTGCTGTCTAGGACCGCTCAGCTACCCTCCCGCAACCATCAGACTACCCTCCCCCAACCATCCGACTACCCGCCCATTACCTGACTGTCCCCAACCTGACTCCACTACACCCAAGCTACCACAATCACCCTCCCCACCGACCACCCAATTAACCCATGACTACGCAGCTATACCCGTGATGCAACCCAATTACCCTGATCACTCTCTGATTGCCACTCAACTACCCTCTAACCAGCTGACTAATCCTGTCTAACTACCCCTTGACCCCTCAAACACCTGCCAACCTTACATATTTACCCACATTGTCTGCCTCACCCTGTTGCCCACTTCACCTACCCAGATCCACCTCACCCACTTATCCACCTTACCATCTACCTAATCACCCACTGAATCCATCTAGCCACCCACTCACTACCCACCTCATCCAGCCATCTACCTAACTGTCCACTTACCCACCTTACCCAGCTCACCACTCCTACCCACCTCAGCTACATAATCATTCAACCACGTGCACACGTTCACTAACCCGCAAAATCTTGTGGGTCATGGCAATGTGCCCATAATTGCTGCTGACTGGTAAGAACGAGGTCATTATTTTCTTTAAGTTATTTTATCTAAGGAAGAATGTGAAATCCCTCCCTTTTTTTCCTTGTCAGCCCCCAATGTAGGTCTTATGACATCCAATAATTCTTACAGTTGAGAGGAAGCAGAAACACTAATCCCCCATTCTTGAGCAACACTTAGCTTCATCTGGAAACAATATTGAGTTGGCAATGACTGTCCCTCTAGAGAGGTGCTTGCCCTTTGCAGACTGCATCCACACAACAGGGTGGGGTCACTGAAACAACGCCCCTGCTGAAATACTGTTGTTTTAATACACAGCACTGCACCATCTGACACCATTCGAACCTGCCTTTGAAAATTTCACAGGATGCCCATTGCTTCATTCAGAAATGGTAGAGCATAAAGATAAATTTTCAGTTTCGAAACCTACTAGCCTGGTACCATGAGGAAGATTCTGGAATCATTTATAAAGGGAGGAATTCAAGAGAATACAGCAAGAGGGTGGCAATGAATAAAATCAAATACATTCATCAAAAAAGAAATGTCTCATAAGTTTAACAGAATTATTTAAGGATTTCACAAAATATGCAGCTGAGAATAAGATGGAAATTATCATGCATCTTGGAATTTCTGAAAACATTTAATAACATTTTCGATCGACTATTTATAGAATCATAGAATTCCTATAGTGTGGAAGCGGGATGTTCGGCCCTCTAAAGAGCATTCCACTCAGACCCAACCCCCTACCCTCTCCCTATAACCCTGCATTTTTCCCCACGGTTAATCCACCAAGCCTGCACATCTTTGGACCATGGGAGGAAATTAGAACACCTGTAGGAAACCCAGACAGACACGGGGAGAACATGCAAACTCCACACAGTCAGTTGCCTGGGGATGGAATCAAACCAAGGTGCCCAGCGCTGTGAGGCAGCAGTGCTAACCACTGAGCTACTGTGCCACCCTCTTATATCTACAAGGAAACCTGTTCAGGTCTGACAAAAAGTAATAGACATCATAATATATTAATTAGAGAAGAGGAAGTCAATCTAATTATGAAAATAGGACCAGTGGAACTTCCGAATGAAATCATGATATTTTTTGATGGTTTTAATGAAAATTTGAAAAACAGACTAAGCAGTATGGAAAACAGATTTTTGTAAGGAGTCAGAATCTTCCAATGTGAGGTGTGTTTCCTGAGATGCACAGTTGCACCTTAACTGGTTAATTAATTTACAAATTATATTGAAAATTGAGATACACTTAGGATAATGTAAAGTAATGCACTATATTGAGGGTTTCAGCATGAAATAAGGTATCAGAGGAGAGAGATTTTTGTAAGCTAGATGATCAGATATTGACACTTTATTGCTTGCATGTTGTGGAAATTACAAAAGCAAATGGAATATTAGGTGTGGAATTTCAGGTTCCACCCCTCCCCCAACCCCCCGCACCTCACCTCATCCTGCCAATTCACCACCAGGCTGGAGTCAAGAGACAAATGGGGCCTAAAGTTAGCTCCATTGACCAGTTCCATTCTGGATCAGATTAGTGGTGGCTGGGTTGGAACCAGCAGCAGCAATATCAGGCCTTATGCGGCAGGTAGTTGATTAGGCTAGCTAAGGGTCTAATTGTGTCCAAGTAAATGAACTCAGACTCCAAGTTCCTTATTGAAAAAGTCAGTTTTTGTGCCTGGAAGCAAATACCTGGCTGCAGACTGGGAGCCCAGTGGTTCACACAGGACTATAGACGCCCCCTCTGTCTAGGAGAGCAGCCATATGTCTCCAAGTAGAAATTCTCACTCTCTATCTGCATCCCCTGCTGGCCTGGTCAGCTGCTCATTCCCCTTTTTAATAAATGATTTAAAAAAGGTTGGCGAGTGTAGAGTTGTAGAGTAATGCAACATGGAAACAGGCCCTTCAGCCCAAACTGGTCTATGCTGACCATGGTGCCAACTCAGCTAGTTCCATTTCGTCTGCCTCCATGTTGAATTGTTCTCTGTCTGATTTACCTTCTATTGCATTATGCAGTTCCTCTCAGGCTGGAAGGTCTTTGATTGGCCCTCTGGTTTCAAGTGCTCACTTGGGACCTTGAATCAAACAGGGGAACAGCCTTCATGCCAGCATTAAACCTATAAAAGTCCTATTGAGTGATTGTCTCCGTCATCCCTCCCAGAGGTGGGTTCAGGACCCTAAATTAATTCTGATTTCTGTTTCCCAGTGCTGGAGGGAAAATACAGCCCGCATTGTCTTTATGTAAACGTGTAAGGTCCAAGAGCACAATACTCGAATTGTGTGTAATACTAAAGAGTTCATACCAATTGTGTGACTGTTGGCAAAGCTAAGAGAACAACATTGATTCTTCCTGGAACGATGGAAACTGAAAGGAACTTATCGATAATATTATTAAAGAATGACATAGCCCACAGCTTCTGTAAATGTAAATGTCACTGCAATTTGTCTATCAGTTTAAAAGTAAAATATTACCAAATCAACATTGATTGGAAGTGGGGAGGAATGGATAATCAAAAGTTGGAATGCCTAAAGGATATTGTGTGATAACTTTTGCTTCTCAGTGTAACTTCTGATACACTATGTGCAATATCATGGAAGTTTAGCTCAGATCCAGAAGGTATTACATTTCATAGATCGTAGAATGATCCCTACAGTGTCGAAACAGGTCCTTTGGCCCAACAAGTCCAAATGACCCTCAGAGCATTCCACCCAGACCCGTCCCGCACCTAATCTATACATCCCTCAACTTAGCACGGCCAATCCACCTAGCCTGGTCATCTTTAGACTGTGGAGGGAAGCTGGATCACCTGGAAGAAACCCACGCAGACGTGGGGAGAATGTGCAAACTCCATGCAGGCAGTCACCCGAGGGCTGGAATCAAACCCAGGTCCCTGGTGCTGTGAGGCAGCAGTGCTAACCACTGAACCACCATGCTGCCCTTTCTTGGGTTTTTCTTCTAGTTATGTCTATTTTCAGTATTGGCTCTGAAGTGTTAGGATTTTTTTAAGTTACTATATAAAGCACTGTAAGATGCTGATAGTAATGCCTGAAATATCTATTTTATTGCTGGGTCTTTTATGGCCTCTGCTTCTCCATGCAGTGTTACACTATTTCATCCACTTTGCAGTTTCCGTTGAAACCTTGGCTTCCAGCTGCTACAAGAAAATAACTAACACTGCTGGCCTCTATTTGAGTGCCACACTTTCTACTGACTCAGTCCATTTTGAATGTATTGGCATGGGTTTTACAGTGATAAAGATGGTAAAACCAGGGAGGCAATGGCCCAGTGGTATTGTCACTAGACCTATTAATCCAGAGACCCAGGTAATGTCCTTAAGACCTAAGTTCAAATCCTGCTGAGGCAGATGGTAGAATTACAATTCAATAAGAATCTGGAGTTAAGAATTTAATAATGATTACAAAACCATTGTCAATTTTTTCAAAAAACCCATCTGGTTCACTAATGTCCTTTAGGGACGGAAACTGCAATCCTTACCTGGTCTGGCTGACATATAACGCCAGACTCTCAGCAATGTCCACTGCCCTTTGGGCAATTAGGGATGGGCAAAACATGCTGGTCTCGCCAGAAATCCTCATATCCTATGAATAATGTTTAAAAATACTGTAGCATCCACTATGGCATGTCCATGGCAATTGACATCAACTTTGAGAATTTGCAAACATGCAGAATTAAGCAGAGACCCAAAGATTTCTGTCAGTGATATCATGCTCTCTAGAGGGTAGAGTGTGAATGTTTCCTATTCTTACATCTGTAGAGTACAAATTTTGAAGCAGATCAACAAATGGACAAAGACTTTTTGCATTGTTAGTCTGTCTGTAAAAACCACAAAGAAGTTACACTTGGTTGAATAAGTTGTGACTGCGTTTGAAACAGCATAATCATTTTGTAAATAATTCTAAAAAAGACTTCACTGGACCTGGGGAACTATTTTTATATTTGTGGAATGTCAAATTTCTCCATTATGACAAAAAATGCAATTACTACTTTTATTGCATTCTTAAAATGTAATTGAAAATACAGGAATTCCCTACATTTAAACTCCTGCCTTGTTGATTGTGAGAATAGTTCATTGTGATTGGTTCTTTACCTTGCTTGTTAACAGTATTGTCACTGGACATGGGGAGACCTTCTCAAGTGAGGATGTTTTAGAATTAGTTACAATGATTATGCTGTTTCAAACCCAGTCACAAACTTACTCAACCAGATGTAACTTTGTAGTTTTTACAGAGATTCGAACAATGTAAGTCTTTGTTCATTCGTTGACTGCTTCAAAATTGTACTCTACAGATGTGAGAATAGGAAACTTTCTTAGGTTCAAGTTACCATCAGGAAAGGTGAAATCACGGAGATTGCTGGATTTGTTTGCACAGCTTTCTCCAAGATCATTGCTTTGCCACAGACACAAGGCCCAGTCTGATATTAATGGAAAAGTTTACACTTTCTCCTCATTAAGCATAGATTCCATTTGCATTGATCATCATAGAATCCATACAATGTGGACACAGGCCCTTTGGCCCAACAAGTCCACACCAAACCTCACAGCATCCCACCCAGACCCATTCCCCTATAACCCACCTAATCTACATGTCCCTGAACACTATGGGCAATTTAGCATGGCCAGTCCACCTAACCTGCACATCTTTGGACTGTGGGAGGAAACTGGAGAAAACACATGCAGACATGGGGAGAACATGCAAACTCCACACAGACAGTCGCCTGAAGCTGGAATCGAACCTGGGTCCCTGTGCTGTGAGGCAGCCATGCTAACCACTGAGCCACCATGCTGCCCCTCACATTGTTGCCCTTTCATAAATAATGTTACTAATTTCAAAATAAATAACTCAATGCTGCTGTTATATTTAAATTAAATAACTAATAGCACCAATCTCAACAGAAACAATTTCATTCCAGCTTGTTGCCCTTTTTGAGTTGTCCAAAGCTTCAAATGGTAAATAAACATCTGTGCCAACATTCTTAACATAAGCAAAAGCCAAGAAAATGAATTTCCTCTGTTCTCTTTCATTTCATAAGTCATAACAATTTCAATACCTGCAAGTTGAATTCCAGTTACTGCCCTTTAAAAAATAAATTACCTAGTAATGTGATGTAATAATTAAAATGTTACGTGGTCTGACTCATCATCAGCCATGACACAGGGGATTCATGAATAGAACATAAAAAGAAATCTTGCATCGGTTACTTACTCCAAATGTCATTTTGTTACACATGTAAAATAATCTTAAAGAAATAAACTTGGACCTTAAGACTCGCACAAAATTGAACCTGTTATCTGATGAGATTTACCATCTCAAATAACTTAAGTTACCCGGGTCATCTTGTTTAAAACAATAGGCTTTAAAGACACAAACCAAGGTAGCAGTCCATCGTTGCGTAATATCACTGTAGATCTACTAAAGCTTGTAATATCATGGATGAAGTAATGAAGAAACTGGTTGCATAATTCAATTGCAGAACATGGAGAGTTTTGTCATTGAGAATATTGCTTTAGTGTAAAATAGCATCTGAGCCACTAACACACACTTCTAGTGCAGGCAGCATTAGATACTATTTTGCATAGGTTAGACTGGGCACTGGAGTGTTTGCTTGGGATTAGGCACACTGTGATGCTTATTGGTATCCTACACTAATCTAACTGTGATGGAGGCCCTTTCAATTTAAATGCTCCAGCTTACACCCTCTCTTTACCTCATAAAGCTGAACATCCTTTCATCAGCAGGAAGGACTCCCAAAGCAAGTCCTATTACCACTTACATAAAACCTAAGTCACTGACAGTCTGTAAGCAAAGAGAGGGGAATATATTGAGTTCTCTCTTTCCAGAAGGAACAAGATAAAGCAGGCATGTAATTTCACCAGGATAGCAGGCTTTACTGTGGTCTACTATATGCTATGTGCCCATGTAATCAAGAGTTCAGCTCTGGTCTCTGTCATCTTGGTCTGGGCTGACTGACTTACAGGTAACATCAAGAGCACTGACAGAGTTGCAATGTTGGGAGGACAGATATTGTCATCCTAAGATAGGTCAGCAGGCCCTTGCTCCATGGAGACCCTGCCACTCCTCTGTGTTTGTGCCTTAGCAACATGAGCACTGTGTTGCATGTCAGATTGCCAAATGGCTGTAAGACCCTACAAGTTCTTTTGGACACAGGTTGTCTGCAGCCACCGATGCAGCAATCTGAACCTGGAGTCTGAGTTTACATGAACTTCCCTGCAGCACCCAGTCGTTGAGTAGTTTGTCTTTGTGTTGCATTGGATGCTGAGACAGCAGTCACAGAACTGGACTTTCATCTTTGAGGTGGAAATTGCCACTCAGCCCACTTCCTGATATCACAATCGCCCCACCTACCTAGTAAGGCCTACTCAAACTGAAATCATTGTGAGATTGTTGGGACAGATTGGAGTCAGGCTGTCACCTCAGGAAGCTGGCCTGAGGTGGGAACACTGATAGACAATAGCTGAGCCAGGCAGGGAAAAAGCCCCTCTCTATACAATGGGCCATTAGCCAGTATTCACAATGAGCTTTCATTGCGCAACTGTGTCAACAAAACCTTAAAGGCTCACAGGACTAAAGCCTTTTAAATAATTGAAAGAGCTCAGCCATCTGTTCAAGCTTTAAAGGAGGCAAACAGATTTCTGAATTGCCAATTAATGAAAAGACTAAACTACCAGGAACTCCATCTGCGATCCTCTGACTGCCCCCTTAACCTAGCCTGCTCCCAACCACTCTCCCACCTGACAAACCCCCGCTGACTCACCCCACCACTCCCTGAACGGCCCATCAATCCTGTCTATGACCCAACCTCACTACTCCCCACCCCACCAGACTATCCTGTAACCAGACGCATCCCCTCTCACTCATCTGCTACCTGCCAATCTGCACCTACTAGCCAACCTACACCCTTACCCACATGCCACAGTCCACACTCTCCTGCCCACCTGCCAGTCCACCCTTTACCCTCCTGCCACCTAAGTCCTTATTCATTTATTTGACACATTTACCATCTTTCCATGACTTTTCACAGGCTTTGGACACTTGAACCCTGTTTACTTACAAGGGTATGGCTAGTGTCATAAAAAGGTGGCACGACTTCCACAGAAATGCCCCCAACACTGCTTTCTACAAGCTTTGCTGTGCTTGGTCAGTTCTGTATAATACTGCATCAAACAACAGGCTTGAAAAATCACAGATGAGTAAGTAACTGTGCAACCTGTTGTCTGATTGGGTTCGAAATTGGGATTTCAACCAAGATTGGGAAATGTGGGTCATTCTCTCTTTCTGTAAGCATTTTGTGTGATTCACTACATGAGCCGGTTTATGATGCACATTACTTGCATCAAACTATTAACTTAAATTACACCCTATGGCGTACTGAACAAAAGTAATAGAAGAATGATTTCAAGTATAAGGCTATGTTTTTCTATGTGGGTAAAATTTAACAACATTAAGCATGGAAAAGTAGCTAAACAAGCCCAGCAGAAAGTACTAATGAATTTTCTTTTGTCCTTTTCAATGCAGATTTGGTATCTCACTGAAAAGTGTGAGAAAATTAATCCAACAGAGTAAATAAAATGCTTGTTAGTGAGGAATTAAGATTCTATTATAGCATTCTGCTGGCTGAATAATTACAAACATTTGAGTTTGTTACATAGTCACCCTCATGGATTAGTGTTGTGAAGGCAGGACAAGGTATATATAGCGACTATGAATTTAAGGATGTGTGAATGTATCTGTTTACTAATCTAATTCACACTGGCTACTAATGATAATCCTCGCACTCCAGCTAAAGCAATTTATAGCTGTAGGTTTCCCATTCTTAAGGTGGGAATATTCCATTTTTTTTGCACTTACCTTAAAAATATTGAAACACAAATGTACACACTATAAACCTCTATTCCTTTCATCTTTAAACTGAGGCAATTTATTTCCGGCAAATTAATTCATTTCAAGGCATGGGCTATCACAGCAGATGTCAAATGAGAAAACGGATTGTGTCAGGAATTCACAAAGCCTTCTTTGGGCAATTTCAGCCACACTTTATGAATGTTGCAGTTTCATTAAGACATTTCTCAATTTTCTTTACCTTAGGTATTGGAAAATTGTGGAATTATTTTTATAAAAAAAGAGGTAAACTATGCCTTTTCAAACAGGACAAGATAAACCATCTAGATTTAATCTTTTGTACATTGGTTAGCAGCAAGCATCTGAGCACATGCTTTTTTCAACCATTTCAAACCTGCAAACAAGTATCAGCTTTAAGGGAAATATGACAAATGGAGCTTTAAAGCAAAACAGAAATGACTGAGGGCTATGTAAATTGTAAATATTGATCTAACAACAAGGAAACTTCGAAGCTGTTTGGTATTTTTAAATTTCTATTTTAGTTCCAAATGAGAAAAAATGTGTAACAAAATTGGAAATTAAAATGATAAAATGTGTAAGTCATTTCTATGCAATTTATATGAAGCATGTCTTTTTAACTGTTGCTTTTCAGATACTAGGAGTTCTCACTTCTCACATGTTCATCGAAATAAATTACTTAATACTAAAGAATTATGCTGTACCAATTTTCTTAAATAGGCTTTGCTGGAAGTAGTCAATGACTTATTTGAAGAACAAACAGATTTGGAAAAAATCGTGAGGAAAATAATGCACCGAGCGCAGACATTGCTGAAATGTGAACGCTGTTCTGTCCTGCTCCTGGAAGACATTGAGTCTCCAGTAAGTTAGCTCCAAAATGCATAAAAGAAGGCCCAAAAAAAAAGTAGAAATAATTCTATGTTGTCAGGCCATTATAATTGAAATTTACTTGATAAGTGGAAGAAATTGAATCTAAGCATTTAATTATTTATTTGCTTGTTTTGTAAGAGTTATAACCTGTGAGATTAATTTTTATGAAATTTTTCATTCTTTCTCTATGATTTTTCACATGATCGATAAGGAGTTAATTTTAGAGTTGTTACTAATTTGAAAACTATCAACTAGTCACTGTTTAAGGATGTTTTTATGTAAACCTCAATGATCCATAAATGAGTTAACATTTTTTTGTTTTCTCTTCTGCAACAGTTTTACAAGTCTATTGTTTTCACATGTTTTAACTTCTGTCTTAGCAATTTTTAAAGACAAATTTTAAATTAAAAAAGTTCCTAATAGAATAACACCATAAAACCATAAGGAATAGTAACAGGAGTAGGCTGTTTGGCCCCTTGAGCCTGCTCCACCATTCCATAGGCTCATGGCTGATCCGACATTCCTCATGTCCACTTTCCTGCCCATTCCCCATAAGCCTTAACTCCCCTACTGATCAAGAATCTATCAAGTGTACACAAGGACTCTGTGCCCACAGCTTTGTGTGGCAAGGGGTGTCAAAGACTCTCAATTCTCTGAGAGAAAAAATTCCTCCCCATCTCAGTCTTAAATTGATGTCCCTTAATTCTGAGGCTATGCCCTCTGGTTCTTGACTCTCCCATGAGGAGAAACATTCTCTCAGCATTTACCCTGTCAATTCCCTTAAGAATTCTAGATGTTTCAATGAGATCACCTCTCATTGGTCTAAACTCCAGTGAGTAGAATCCCAACCTGTTTAGCCTTTGTCATAAGACAATCTCTCCATAATGTCCTCTGAACAGCCACCAATGAAATGATATCTTTCCTTTAAAAAAGGGACCAAGACTGCTTACAGTACTCCAGATGTGTTCTAACCAGCACCTTGTATAGTTAGAGTTGCACTTTCCTACTTAGACTCCAACCTCCTTGAAACAAGGGCCAACATCCATTAGCCTTCCTGATTAACTTCTGTACCTGTGTGCTAGCTTTCTATGTTTTCTGCACAAATCCCTTTGTGTTGCAGCTTTCTGCAGTTTTTCTCCATTTACATAATAGCCCGCTCTTTTGTTTTCCCTTCCAAAATAAAGAACTTGACATTTTCCCACATTATGCTACATTTGCCAACTTTTTCCCCACTTTATATAAGCAATGAATATTCCTCTGTAAACTGTATCCCTCTCACAACATGCCTTTCCGGCTATTTTTGTGTTGTCTGCAAATTTGTTAACAGTACACTCACTTCCTTCCGCTAAATTATTAATATCTATTGTAAACAGTTGTATTGTAAACTAGTCATGGGTCACCAACCTGAAAAAGATTAACCCTGACTGTCAGAAGTGGATTGACAATTTCTCTGAATGCATTCAATTTCTAAGAACAGAATAAAGATATTTTTCTGCTGCATATTATGATACATATTTTATCCTGATATTTTGTGGCAGGTGGTAAAGTTTACAAAATCATTTGAACTCTTGTCCCCCAAGTGCAGTGCAGATGCTGAAAACAGGTAAGTTCCTCATTATATTTAATAAGAGTTTGGCGGGGTCTAAGATACCCAATTATAAGCAAATGGCATGTCTTCCGATCTACCATACATGCCCTGGGACAAGGGATTACATCAGGGTCTACTAACCAGGACTTGAGGTTTTAGGGAACCCATTTTCAGATTAGGATGGGATGGTGGTGCTGGTGTCGGGAGCAGGACTGGGGGCATAGGGCTTGGGACTGCTGCCTGTGATGTCTATGCCTGGCCCTATTACTGTCCATGCACTTTGGAGGATTCTGGATCCTGTGGGTATGAATTTGGAAAATTTAAATTCATTGTGTAGAGAGTGAAAGATGTATAAGTAAACATTGCAAAACTTGAATTAAACAGGAATTACGCTGTATATTATAAGCTACTGAAAGAAAAGGTTGAACATAAATATGCTGTAAATTACAAAATTGTATCATGTTATTAAGCAATTGGTTGTTGATATATCTTCCTCTGTTTTAACCTTTTGTTATGTTCTGTCGTATTTTAAGTATTTACTTTAAACATATCAATCTTGGTTTTAACATGGGTGGGAGAGAGGCTGGGTGAGCAATGAGCTCTCCTGATGCTTTCAGTATTAGCCCTGAATGATTTAACTTGTAGGCTTCATTTTAATATGTTCGGTAGGCTCTGTCTCCATCATGCCGAAACTATAGTCCTTCACTCTGCAATTTCATGCAAGCTGCTTGAACCTATTTAAAGCTAGAATGTATCTCTTAAAGCAAGGATGTACTTTCTGCTGTCTAATTTTGTTGGAACAATGTGAACAAGATTGTTCCAGTGATGAATTAGAGTGCTGCTTATGTTACCAGCAGCTCCTTGCTACCTGAAGAAAATGAATTTACTCTGTCATGGCAGGATTCGATTAAAAATCTCGAATTAACAGTCTAATGTTGACAATGAACCCGGAGTCGATTGTCAGGGAAAAACCCACCTGTTTTGCTAATGTCCTTCAGGGAAGGAAATCTGCCATTCTTACCTGGTCTAGCTTAAATATGATTCCAGACACACAGCAAAGTGGTTGACTGTTACCTGTTCTCTGAGCAATTAGGGATGGCGATAAATGGTGATGCCCATATCCCTTGATGAATAAAAGAAAGCCAATTCCTTTAGCATGAAGAACCTTCCAGTCTGCATCACCTGACACACACTCCCAGAGAATCCAACACGCAAGTTCTATAGTTTGTTGTTTAGTAGGTAAAGATTTCATCCATTTTATTGATACCACAAACAGCAAAGAGATGAAGAACACACTGGTGGAATTGGTTTAGGGATATTGCTTCCATATCTTTGAAAATGTGTAATGGGATCCATTATGTAGAGCTGAATGGACAGACCATTAATGTCTGGGATGGATGGTACATCCAGCATTGCAGCATTTTATAAGCACTCAAAGGTTACGTGCTCATGTTTTGTACTGAGAGGTGATCCCACAGCCCTCTGTCTCAGAATTAAGAAGGCAACCACTGCAGATTGACATGTAATGTGCACTTTGTAGTTTAATACTTTATGCCACTAAACAATCATTCTAAACAGAATGGGGATTAAAAAAAATGCACTAGGTATATTTTAATAAAGCAGAAAATGTTAAAATTACCTTGTACTTTCATCATTGGTGACCTACTGAGACCTTCATTTGATAGCCAGGAATGATCCACCTACATATAGAAGATTTAAAATTAAAGTCATAATTCTGAGCAGCAAATGCGCAATTGCATTCTCACACGGTTACTCCATTAATTCTAATCCACCTCGTCTATAAAATGGATGGCAGCAGGTAAATCACTGTAAAAATTAGTTCAAACAAATGGGATGTAGGTGACACATCCCTTGGACTACCACTGTATACCACTGTTCTTATAGATTATCAATTCCATACTTTACAATGTTTCTTTAAAGACTAGATACAACTATAAAGTAGTGGCAATGAATTGATTGAAGTACATTTGCAAAAACCTGAAGTAAGTACTTTCCAGGTCATGTTACCTTTAAATTTCCAATTTTCCCAATTTATAGAGTCATCGAGTTATATAGCATGGAAACATCCCTCAGTCCAACTCGTCCATGCCGACCAGATATCCCAATCTGACCTAGTCCCATTTGCCAGTATTTGGCCCATATCCCTTGAAACCCTTGCTTTTCATATACCCATCCAAAAGCCTTTTAAATGTTGTAATTGTACCAGCCTCCATCACTTCCCCTGGTAGCTCGTTCCATACATGCATCACCTCTGTGTGAAAAAGTTGCCCCTCAGGTCCCTTTTAAATCTTTCCCCTCTCATCTGAAACCTGTGCCCTCTAGTTTCCTCTACCCCAGGAAAATGACCTTGGCTATTCACCCTATCCAATCCACTCATGATTTTATAAAAGTGGATTTTAAGTGGCTCACAGTATTGGTAAAGCTGTGTTGGTAAAGTGTCACAGGACATACTGTGAGAGCTTAGTCAACTTTGATTAAATCGCAAGCGCAAGCTATCTGGAGGGAGCGAGATTTTCTAACAACCAGTTCAGTTGTGTTATTACACATGTCTGAAGCAGATGGGACTTGAACCTTGGCCTCCTGGTTCAGAGGTAGGGCATTCCACTGCACCACAAGGGCCCTTACCTGGTGGGAGACCTCAAATCATTGCTTCAGCTGGGACTGTCACGTTTAACTTGAAATTAGGAAAACAACTGTTGTTATTAACCCGAGAATTATACTCCCTCATTCCACACTGACATTTCTTCTGATCTGATCGAAGATGGCATAATCCTTGGCTGATAGCCATAATCCTAAGGAAGCATCTGAAATATTATACATATTATATTATAAATTATAAATATACATAAATTATAAAATTATAAATATTATAAATATTCTCACACCCCGTTTCATTGTAGATGAAAACTACAATGTAAAGTAAAGGTGCCAGCTAGCAATCAGCAACCAGATGCTGATGCAGCAAGGGTGAAGGTTCTTCTCCTGTTTGGTAATTTCTCAATGGGATCATTGGAAGCACTTTGCTTATGAAACACTCTCTTTGTTCAAACTCTGGCATGAAAGCACTAGGACTGCTTCCTGGAAATCATGGGGAAAAATGACGAGATGCCAACTGTCTCATAATTAAGTGAAAACTCTTGGTGTTCACTTTTAGGGCAGATTCAACGAGATTTCATACTCATGTAACTGCAGTCTGAGGCAGCTTGTTCTCAAAACAATCACTGGAAGGAATATCTATACCATGTCCAAGCATGGTCTCCCAGCCTGGGAAACAAGAGCAAGTTTGGCTTTGCTATGAAAGTACTGAACCCTAGTTCGATACAAATTTGTCCTTCAGAATGCCTAATGTAGCAGACGGTACAAGTAAGTGCTAGTTATTCTTGAAAGGGATGCTGGTCTCCTGCCACATATTGACTTACATGTCAAGAGCTCCTTTAATATGTGTCCCAGAATAGAGGTAGGTCTGGCCTAAGCATATTACATTGTATTGCACTGTTTTGGAGAAAATGCAGTTGTGCATAGTATACCAACTGATATACCATAGTCATGTGACCTCGATTTCCACTGAGTGTCTTTGTATTCAATCTGTACGAGCCATTAATCACACATCACTTGTAACATGGTGTCAAGTGGAATTTTTTGAGCTATAAGAGAGCCAGCTACTGTGAAAAAGACAGCACAAAGTTTCGGCTGAAAACGTGGATTTTCAGAGCTGTGAGAAAGTCAGCTACTGAAAGAAACAGCAGGTGGTGAGGGAACCTACAGGAGTTAAAAAGAAAACATAGTTGTCCTTGCTCTCACCAAGATACCAGTAATAAATACATCTGCCTCTGACAGTATTGATAGGAGTGACTCCCACACAATTTTCACATTCACTTTGCAGATATCCTTCCTAGTGTTATCTGGCATCACTGCTGTACTAAATGGGATAGATTTTATAAAAAGCTAACAACTCAAGACTAGGCACCTATCAGGCACTTTAAGCCATCACAGCAGCTATTCAATCTCAATCAGTCAGCTCATGGCCTATCACATCTGCCCACTGTACCATTGTCACCAAGCCACCCTGGTTCAGTGAAGATATCTCTGGATTACTACCAGTGCCATGTGATAACGAGGTAAGAAACAGGGAGAGAGTGCAGCTAAACACGTGGCTACAGGGCTGGTGTAGGACAGAGGGCTTCCATTATGTGGATAATTGGAGCACATTCTGGGGAAGGTGGGACCTGTACAGGAAGGACGGGTTGCACCTGAACCGGAAGGGCACAAATATCCTGGGAGGGAGGTTTGCTGGAGCTGTACGGGATGGTTTAAACTAGATTGGCAGGGGGTGGTGAACCGGATTTATAATTCAGAGGATGAGGTATTCGGCCTTCCGACAGACACAAGAGGGAGTGAGGTTGTTTATAAAGAAATGCAGTCGATGGAGCGTAATTGCGGACACCGAGATGGTTTGAGGTGTGTATACTTCAATGCTAGAAGTATCAGAAATAAAGCGGATGAACTTAGAGCATGGATCGGTACTTGCAACTATGATGTTGTGGCCTTTACAGAAACTTGGGTAACTCAGGGACAGGAACGGTCGTTGGAAGTTCTGGGATTTAGATGCTTTAAAAGAAATAGGGAGGGTGGAAAAAGAGGTGGGAGAGTGGCATTGCTAGTCAGGGCGAGTATAGCAGCTACTGAAAGGCAGTTCAAGAATGATACGTCTACAGAGTCAGTTTGGGTTGAGGTCAGGAACAAGAAAGGAGCAGTCACTTTGTTGGGGGTTTTTTACAGACCCCCAAATAGTTGCAGAGAAGTAGAGGAGCGGATTGGGAGGCAGATACTGGAAAGGTGCAGAAGTCACAGGGTTGTAGTCATGGGTGACTTCAACTTTCCAAATATTGATTGGAAACATTTTAGTTGTAATAGTTTAGATGGAGCAGATTTTGTCCAGTGCATTCAGGAAGGCTTCCTGACACAGTATGTAGATAGACCAACACGAGGAGAGG